GCGCGTGGGGTACTCGCTGCCCGTCAGCATGTGCCGCACGTTGGAGTTGGTGATGAGGACGGCCAAGCCGGCATCGGTCAGCGGGACAAGGACGGTCTCCAGGGACCTGCAGCGAGAGCTCAGTGCGGGCCGCGGGCCTGTCCCCCTGCCTGCTCCAGCCCTCGGCCACCCCGGCAAGGCCACATGGCAGGCGGCTCCCCCCAAAAAAAACAGGCGGCTCCTGCCTCCGCAGAGGCGAAGTCCAAGTGGTTTAGGGTTTTGCTCGAGCACTTCACTCCCTCCCAATTATTAGCCCCATAACAGACCCTCATGACTTTGTGGGAAAGACAGCCCAGGCAAGCAGCAAGAAGGATGCAGGAGGAGGAATCAAGACACAGGAAATAAAATGCAGGAGCCCCAGCCCTGCGATGAGGTTTTGGGCTGGGTTCAGGGGTTAGCCCCTCCCTGCACTCCTGCATTTATTTCACGGCCACGGGACCAGCTCGTCCCCACCTGCCCGAGGAGGTGGGCACGGCGCAGCGAGCTCGGCGCTCAGCCCTGACCTGCAGTCAATAAGAAGCGCGTGGCCTTCCTTGCCCATCACGGATACGAACTGGTCCATGATCCCGCAGGGCATGCCGGCAAACGTGTGCTCCGCTTTCTGGCACGCCAGCGCCTTGGCTACCAAATCACCATCATCTGTGCAGAGCAGAGCGACGCAGGTTAGCAGCGCTGGGATCTTTGCCCCTTGCTCTGGAGCAGGAGAAGCAAACATGAAGGTAAAGGGCTGCTTTCCCATGGAACAGGGTTTCGCTAAAGCATCGGCTGCAGGTGCTTGCTCCTGTGCCAGCGTGGGGACCCACATCCAGCTGGATACGATAATTTGAATCTGGTGTCTCAGATCTCTCCATTTCTGGGGACAGGAGGGTGGGGAGAAGATGCTCCCAAGGGAACGTCCCTTATCCCCCTGGCCAGCCCCAGAGGTGGTCCATGGGCTTTAGAGGGATGCGCAGGTCAGGCTAGGTTGAGCCGGAGGAGCCCCACAGCCACAGTGGTGCCAACTGTGGCAGGGGGTTGTCACCCACCCCACAAGTGGTGTTTCCCCAAGGGCTGTGGGACCTTGCTAAGGGCAACCTCTCATCCTGGCTCCCTCCCTGGAACGGGGGCCAGGGGGCCAGGACCAGGGGCCAGGGACCATCCTGGCCAGGGGCCAGGACCAGCTGCTGCCTTACCAGGGCAGAGCTGCTGGAGGAAGGTGTAAGTAGCCACCTCCAAAGCGGCCGAGCTGGAGAGGCCCCCACCCAGGGGGATGTCGCTGGCTATCACGGCGCTGAAGCCCGGCACAGGACCACCTGTGGGAACAGAAGGGAAGAGGGGGGCCATGAGCCCCCGCAGGGCTGGGGGCTGCCCTGCCCCACAGGGCAGAGGAGTCCCTGTCCAATACCTCATTTTAAAACACAGGGTGACCCATGGCAGAGTGTGACCGAGGCATCCCCCTCCCCAAACACAGGGGTCTTTGGATCTGAAAGAGTCTCTGCTGGAGCCTGGCCCCAGCAGCAGCTGTAGACTTGCACCATCACTGGAAGAGCCCCTGGAGCACACCAAAAGCCGGGCACCGAGCACCAGCCCCACGCACGGGGGGCTCTAACCCTCTCGGCAGCCTGGACCTTACCCCGGTAGTGCTGGATGACACCCTTGACGTAGTTGGCCCAGCGAGGCTGCGCCGGGCTCAGAGAGGAGCCTTGGCGAGGAGCTGGGAACTGCACCCTGTGGGGCTCGTCCGCCTCCGCCGAGGTGGTGAGGATGGAGATGGTCCCGTCCTGCGTGGGGGATCCCACCAGCACTGTCCCCAGCTGCAGAGCCTGGGGAGGGGGACGAAGGTGGGCTCAGACCCCACGGCATCCCTCGGAGGATCCCCACTGGTGGCTGGGGACGGCTGCGGCTGCTTCAACCCACAGCTGGCAGCACCCTACACGTGTTACCCTTAACTCTGTCTGCGCAGAGCCGCCAGCCCCCCACAGCACGCTCCGGCTCATCACAGCGTTAAACTTTCCGCCTACTTAATGCTACACAGGGTCAGTCTTGGCACTGAAATGCTGTGACCCACCATCCCAGCTCAGCGCCGGGGCGCTGGCTGCTGGGCTCCGGGAGAGTGGAAACCCACGACAAGGACGTGGGAGGCTCCGGGAAGTTTTCTTCCCTGCAGGGGAATTCTGCTGACCTGTTCCCACGCTCCTCGGCCTCAAGATAATTAGCTGTAGGGTTGATTTAGGACTGAGCGGGGGCTTCCCCACCGAGCCAAAGGAGGGCAAGGGAACCTCGGCTGCTTCGAACCACCTGACACCAAAACATGGCTCTCCAGGA